ACCCTTATAGAAAAGAATTTATTCCAGATATCCAGTCTAACCCTGCTCTCTRTTTGAAGACATCCCGCCTTGTCCTGTCATTCCATGCCCTTGTCCAAAGTCCCTCTCCAGCTCTTTTATAGCTCTGTTAGTACTGGAAGGGGCTCTAAGGTCTCCCTTGAACCTTCTCTTCTCCAAYTGAACAGTCCCAGCTCTCTCAGYCTGTYGCCATARCAGAGGTGCTCCAGCTCACGGARCACCTTGRTAGTGTCTGGACATGCTCCACAGCTCCACAATTTCCCTGAGGCCCCTGATCTGTGGGGACAGATCCTTTGTCTCTCCTCCATCGTGCCAGCTGCGTGGAACCATTGCCTTCAGGGCCTGCAGCTATGCAGAAGGATTGCCACATCAGGGTGTTTCGCCAGCTCTGCAGCAACTTGGGCAGGAGCCAAGGGCTTGTTGGGTTCTGGGAAGCCCTCTCTGGTASAGTCCCTTCATGCTCCTTCCCCTCAGCTGAAAAGCTGCTCAGGTTCACCGCTGCCACGCAGGCACCTTTCCCAAGAGCCTTCCCCATCCCCTCCCCTAGGGAAGGCTTGGTCCCAGTCGCTGCATTGCTCTGTGGGGAGCCAAGTGACCCTTCTCTGTTTAGAAAGAGAATAACTGTGCTGTGCACTGAACAGCTCTGTGTTTGTTTCTTTGCACACAGTATTTTCAAACAACTTCAGTCTTGTTCATTGCAGCACAGGACAGCCCTTGGCAGCCTCCACAGGACTGGCGCAGGATGAGTTTTCCTCAGTCCTGGCTGCTCCAGCTGCCAAGGAAAGGCGCCAATTCCCACCGTAGGTGTGCACCTTTCCCTGCAATGTCCCACTGGGATCAGCCAACAGTTTGCAGCTCAGGTGTGATGCTTCCAGGGAAAGAGCTGGATCCTGCAGCCTGGCTGCCTYGGGATGCTGACTGGTAGGTGTGGGAAATACAGAGTATCAGCATTTGCACTTTGTGCCGGTGCCCAAATTGGTTCTCATTTATAGAGAAGGAGGAAGACATTGTGTTCAGAGAAGTGAAAGCCAGTGTGATGTTCTCTATTACTTTTGAAAACATTTTCTATGGAAAGCAGTTTCCTTAAAACACAAACCCCAGTCTGGCTGACACTTCCAAAATTGGACTTGTTCCGTCTCCTGTGGAGACACTGGCTGCAGACAGGTCCAGACATCTGCTCCTCATTTCCTGTTTTATCCTTAAATGTGAGAAAATACGAAATCATGCAGTGCCAAGCAAACTCTCTTGATCCCCTGCTATTTAATTGTCTCCCTTATTCCAGTAATGGCTCAAGATCTCTACATGAAGCACAGAGGCTTCTCCAAAGGGCATCTCTGAAATGAGAGACCACATTTGGCTCTAAGAAGTCTTTTCCCAAGTTTGGCACTGCTGTCCTTGGCCAGGAGACGGGAGGTTGGTGGGTTGGTTTGTGTCAGAGCACTGGCTGAGCTGCCAGCCCTACTGAGGTAGGTTCRTGTGAGGATGAGCTGCCATGAGGCAGCTGGAAGCTGTGTCAGAGGAAAGASAATCCCATTGTATGTCCAGAGCTGGAGTCACATGTCAGCATCTCTCCCTTGCAGCATCAACACTGGTTTGGTGCTCCCAAAAGCTGAGTGCTCCTGCTGCACGTCCTCCTGGGATAGAGGACGATATTGTGGGCAGCTAAGGATGCTCTCAGGACCTGTTTCCAGGCCCTGCTCTAATGTCACCAGCTCCTGAGGCCTTGGGACCTCCTGAACATGCTTCCCATGAAGTGAAAATCATCARCATTCTCATTTGATCCACTCTAGCATCTTTCTTTCAGGTCAGATACAGCTCCTAGCTCTCACTGACTTTCTCTTTCTATTCTCAGTCTTCACCTTATTTYAAGGAATACAAACCTACTTAATACAGTTCTTCTTTCACAAATAACTGAAATGGCAAAAAWTTCCAGCACGGAAATTCCCTGAAGGAGGTGGGAGCTGTTCTGGGGCCATTTCCTATTTGTTTAGGACACAGCCCACGTTCTCTTTATATATTGTTTTGTGTCTAAAGCTTTGCAGGCCCAAGGTGCTTTTTGCCTTCCAGAGCAATTCCCCAGGCATTAGTCATATGAGGACTTGACTGCTGTGCACAGCTCCAGCTGGTTGTGAACAGCCCTGGCAAAGCTTTGGGTGGTGGGTGGGAAATGCTGGAGCTGCTTTGATGTCTCTCCTAGGTAAGATGGGACCTGGCACTTTGACCTGTGGTATCTGTGGTTTGGAACAATAAACCAAGTTCTTGCCTAAGGGTTGCCAATGAGAAACCAAAGGTTAGGGGTTGACATCACATCAGGCTTCTGAGTGTGCCTGGCACCTGTCACCAGCATCCCCAGCAGACTTTGTTCTCCTTTTGTCTGCAGTAAAACCAGTGATAAGATAGCAGGACATCCATCCTGATATGAAAATGTCCTTAGAGCAGAGCAGGARCTGGAGGCAGAGAGCCCAGATGCTGATGTCTACCATGACATCCTTTTGTGGGTGCTGAGGGTCACACTGGGGCAGTGCTGGAAGGCCCAGAGGTTGCAGAACCTCTGTTGGTGCCCAGTGCCCAGAGTGTGGTCCCTCTGCCCACACTCCATGGCAGGAGCACAGGTGAACGTTTGCTGATGTTTTTCCCTTGTCCATGTTTCCAAGCCTTCACTCATACTGCAGTTATAAGGAGGTGAAAAAACCAACCCTCTTCCTATCATCTACCACTTTTTTTGGTGCTTTTACACCCTCCAGAGAGCCTTTGGTGCACAGGGGAACCTCAAGAAGCCTTCTAAGGAAGAATGGGGACAGGCTGGGAGGAAATGCCCCTGGTTCCCAGTTACTGAGTTTTCCTGCTCTTTGTTTCCCTGGAGGCTGGCTGTCCCTGACTTGCAGAGTTACACACTCCATTGCTTGGATGCTGTGACTTATCTTTATGGACTGTGGTTGCTCGGCTGGGAGGTCACCTGCCTGCCTGCCCTTATCCACATCCACAATTTAATCTACACGCCCAGATCTACACTGAAAAATAACCTGCTATTCCTGGAAAGTAAAGTGAAACTAAATCCCATTGAGGCAACAAGTGCCCAGACAATTTCTACTGTAACAAAAGAAGCTAAAATCAGCTGAAGGTAAGATGAGCTCAGAGAAGCCCTGAGATCCTTCCCTGTCAGACTCACACAACGCCTATGGTTTATCACTAGTWATGTCAGGAATATCTCCTGGAATATATCAGATCCTCTCACTTTAGGTTCTTCAATGCTGCAAGACCTCAAACCAGTGCAGTAAGGGGCTGGGATTGGTGTGCTGCAGGAACAGATGTGCAATGGGATGGGAGGCTGGTATAGGAATTAGGTTGGGAATGATGGTGCCAGTTTTCTGCCAGSTGCAGCCCAGGTTTGTCACTACCCATTGGAGCTGCCTGCTCCCACTGGAGCCAGTTGCTGAGCTTCTGTGTCCTCCTTTGGTGGGAAATACAGGGCTTGGTGGTGGYTTAGGCCCTCGCTGCTGCTGGCACTTGACAGCTCGTGGTGTCCCACAGAGCCACGCTGAGGCTGCAGGCACCTCCCTGCCCTCCACACTCCTGCTGTGGAATCTCCTTGTGCAGATGCCACCTCCAAACCCAGCTGCTGAGCTCACAGGGAGCAAAGGGAGATGTACAAAAGTGGCCTGGAGGAGTTCTCTGACAAGTAAAACACCTCCAGCCCAGTCTGGAGAGGAAAAGCAGCTGCATTATGTGCTAGAGSAGTTTGTGCCTTAGAACAACAACGCCTATGGCAAGTCATGCCTTTGGCAAACAAAGCACTCCCCCTCCCACTTACCTGAATGTCAGAGCCCTTCCTCAGTTTTATCTATCCCTGGCAGCAAACCCTTTGCAGAAGAAGCAGAACCTGTTTCTTCAGGGGAGATGTGGGCATGTGTGGGCTGTGCATCACTTCCAGCAGCCCAGGTTCCTGATGGCTTTAGGCAATGCCACTTCCTGGAATAAAAGYTTCCAGTAAGGTTCTGTGGAACCTRAGAAAACACTGTTTGSGGAAGGGCCAGAAAACATCCCAACAGACTCAGCATGTTCYGCTCTGGCTGGATCAAACAGACTATTTCAAGCCTTTATTTTTATTTTATTTCCTYGAAATGGGCTTTTCCTTCTAATACAATATAAGCGAAAGCTGAAGTCACAGGCTGGGATTTTCACCAAAGGAACTATGGGGAATGCTGGGGATTTTCTCTTTTGAAAACTAAAATCCCAACTGGAACTGCTGGAATTCCCCACAGCATGGACACGACAAATTTCCACTGCCCTAAGAAAACTTTGGGCAAAATGATTTCTGGGGCAGTCACAGGCTCAGTCTTGATCTTATCTTCATCTCTCAATTGAGGGAGTTGGCCAAGGGGAAGCTGTTCTGTATTTGCTGGGACCTGAGATGAAAGAGAAAGTAAAGGTGCAGGATGTGACCACAGCGTTGGCATGTCCGCTTCCAAMCTGCCTTGGGGCTGGTGTGGAAAAGCCCCCGGACAGCTGGTTCTGGCAGGGCTGGGGGTCTCGTGGTCCTGCTTTCCTTATCAGCAAGACCCTGATGTCTGAGCCCCTGTGAATATGGAAAATCAGGCTGGAAACTAGCGAGAACACGCTGCAGAGAGCATGGCCAGGGCACAGGAGCTGCCTGCAGAGTCACTGCAGGGTCCCTGCTCACCCCTCTCCTTGGTGATGCTCCTTAGAGGCGGCCTGGGCTGAGATCAAAGTGTAGCYGATGAACTCATAATCCTGATTAGCAAATTCCATCTCTTTTGGCCTAATGACTGCTGYTATAAGATGGCTGCCAAAAAGGAAGGGAATAACTGCTTTTGCATTTGGGGTAATTAATGAGCTTTCTGAGCAGCAGGGAGCTGTAGCTGGAGGTGGGGAGAGCTTTACAAGCCTGAGGACAGAGATGCCTTGGCACAGGCCAAGTGACACATTGGTGGGAGAGCAGCATGGGGCAGCCGAGTCCTGAAAGTCCCTGCCTGAATAATTTAYCAGCCAGGCTGGGGCTGCGCTGTGTGGGCTAAGAAAAGCCGGTGTGAGTACATCTGGGGAATTCCAGGAGCCATCCAGCTCCAGAGCCGCTGCTATTCCCTCCCCGTTTCCCTCTTCCCCCCGCCTCCTGTATCGTCACCGTGGACACGTATGAGGCGGGTGAATAACCACCACAGCTCCATCTCCGTGCTTCGTAATCCTGGAATGAGCGGCGACAGCTGTCTTGCTCCGGAGGATGCAATAAGCAGCCGGSAGTGGGAAATAGTGCCGGTAATCCCTCCCTGCCTGCCTTTCCTTCTGCCGACCAGGGGAACATGAAGGCTGGCTCTCTGCAGATCCTGCTGCTTCTGCTGGGGGTCCTGTGCCTGACCCTGGCTGGAGGTGAGCCACAGCTCCCCAGGGAACAGCCAGCTTCATGAGGGGATGGCGATGGGGCTGGAGAAGGGGGAAGGTGGCGCTGGATCAGTCTGAGGGGGATCTCTGTGGGATGCAGGCGATCTCAGAGCAGGATCGGGCTGGTTTGGGAAGCCGCCGCGGGGAAGCGTATGGCCGCAATCCTGACCGCGGGGACATCCGAGCGGCCTTTTGTCACTCCTGAGGGCAGATGGGGAGAGCGTCGGAGACAATTCCTGATAATCCCTATTAGAAATAAAGCACAGTGTACTTCTCCCTTTTTTTCATGTCCTTGGGGACGCGGCAGGGAGACTGCAGCCTGGCCAAGGGCGGGTGTCTGAGGGGACTGCAGCCCGTGCTGAGGGTGCGGGTGCTGCCATCGCTGTGGGGCCSGGGCCTGGCACCTGCAGTGTGTRTTTGTRTGTGTGTGTACAAAGTGGGAAACGCTCTGCTGTTCTCTGGATAAAGATATCTGCGTGCTCGGGGTGGTGCTGAGCAGGCGCAGAGCAGCGGGAGGTGCTGGGCTCACTCTGCCAGRGCTGGGTTGGTGACCACTGGCCAGTGACCACTGCCCAGGGCAGCACATCAGCAGGGCGTGCTGGGCTGTCACCAGGCTCTCAGCACCACCGGCAAGGGTAGACTTTGCCCAGGACCAAAGGGTGATCTATTCTCACCGTGGGAAGGGAGAGGGGCAAAGAGGCCCTGAGATCTGTGTCCTGCTGCCATCAGATGGGAGCAGTGAGGACAGCACGGGCAGCTGGCRATGGAGCTTCTCCCTCCTCTCACYTCTGGGCAGATATTCCAGGGATGGCCTGAGAAAGGTGGACAGCAGGGAAAGCAGGCAGCTTACCCTGCCCTGGTGCCTGCTTGGCACTGCCTGGCTCTGCTCACCCATGTCCAGTATCCATTTCCCCTAAAGCGAGGAAATGGGGCTGGCTCTGCTGAAAGGCTGGTGGTGCTCCCCAGCCGGGGTCTTTTGAGGAACTGTGCTGAAAAGCAGGTACCGATGGCTTCCAAGAGCAGTGGTCCTGGGTGGATAAAGATCCCTTTAGCAAAGACTCAGATGCAGCTCAGAGATGTGGAGTTGTGTGCTCCAGGAGGAGGGCTCCATGCTCCCTGTGGCACCCCTCTGTCCTTGGAAGGTGCTTTCCAGGCTCCTCCGCTCGGGGCAAAACCCCACCAGGAGTTCAGCCAAATGAAACCATTTGCATTGGTGGCAATAATTGTAAAATCAGTTCAGGGTTCTCAGAGGAACAGGGCCTTTGTGAGCAGACAGGGACTGCTCCCCGCCGTGCACATCCCTGCTTGCCTGCAGGCATGGTCTGGCCCTCTTGTCACTGTGCCTGTTTTGTGCTCCTAAAAGTGGAGGACAAGCAGAATATCCTGTGGCTAATGGAAATTAATTGGGAAGTCAGCTGTCCCTGAGCAGGGAATTCTTGACCCTAAAGTGCCACAGAAGACATTATTGCATGAAAAAAGTGTTTTGCTTTAACTTGACAGACAGCTAGAGGTAGAAATSGGCTTCTGTAGAGGGGCCACAGGAGTCCTCATTTGGGATTTCTTTGCATCTGGGGGTTTTCCCAGTAAATGGTTCAAATGATTCAGAGTGCTCCTGTAGTGATGYTCGTTCTTGTACCTGGTACCTGGATCATTCCTAACCTGAACTGCATGAAAATTCACCACATTCACTTGGGAATCAGAKGCAACATTTTGTAAGAGATAGCCTGATTGAAACCAGATGCCAGTTCCTTTCTTCACAGAGGCCCCAGACAAATCAGGACTTGTTTTTTTAAGTCTTGCCCCAGGGATGTCAGGAACAGTTGGCAGGATGTGCAAGTGCCTGCTGTGGGAGGCTGGRGGTGGAATGCAGCATGAAGAGTCCCCAGTGGTGTGATTGGCTTTGCCCCTTGAAGGGGCCAAGTGGGGTTTTGTTTTTACGCTTTGCAAACTGAAAACTGTTTTTTTCTGGTGGAGGTGGAAAAGATGTGTTTGGGAAGCTGGGCTGCTGAGATACCTGTGGGAATGAAGTATCATTCACCAAAAGGTTCCTTCTCTGAGTCCAGGGGCGTTCACAGACCATGTACCAGCCAGTAGGATGGTCACCTGGAGGAGGAAGAGATAACACTGATAAGGAGAGGGCAGAGCACCCTGCTCACTGGTCTGCATCTCCTGCACCAAGASTCCTCTGCTGAGGGTTGCAGCAGGCCTTTGGGGAATGAGGAAATGCGTCTTCTGGGCATTATGGTGAGGCCAGTCCTCCTGGGACCCGAAGGGGAGAGGACCTGCAGGTCCAGGGACTTCCACATCCCACAGGACAAACTGAAAYGCTGTCCCAAAAGCCCCACAATTTTCACACTGTCTTCATCGGGATCTGTCTTCATCTCAGGTTAGCAGGGATTGGAAACTTTGGTGGTAAGCTTTGGACACCTCCCTGCAGAATGGGGAAAAGAAACAGTGCTGGTTTTGAGAGGCCCTTATGAAAAGCCAGTTCTTAATAAGTTGAAATTTTTATTTCAGGGCAACCTAAAGCACCTCTGAAATGTTCAATAGTGTGCACAAGTTTTATGCCTGAGGAAGTAGGGARGCGGATCAGGAGCAAGATCAGGAGCTACCGCTGGACTGAACCYGCCTGCAGAAAACGAGCTGTCATGTAAGTTCTGCCCCACTTCCAAGTGGGATCAGGGTTAAATGGATGGGGAAAGGGACTGAGGGATGCACTTGGCAGAACAGGGCAGAGCAACCACACAGGGAGAGAGCTTACGTGTTTCTCTGAAAGCAGATATTTTGTCTGAAGAAGATTCAGACTTGTGAGCTTGTCTGGAAATGAGAAAAGCTCCATTTTTTTCTTTGGGATAATTGTTGTTTTCCACTCTCGCTGAAGTTGACGCACCACTGACACCATTTTATTGCAGCCCAGGGGGTGGCTCCAAAGTGAAACTGCTGGGCTGACCTTGAAAAGTCTCACATCACCCAATAAATCAGAGGGTTTTGCCTTCACGCATGTGTGCCCTGGGGCAGCTGGTGCCCTAAGTGCAGCAGGGAAACGTGTCCGAGCAGGACAATGCTTTTGAAAGCGAAAATACTTGTTAGGGGAAAACCCTTCMCCCATGAGTCATTTCAGCTGCTACTCATTGAGTTAGATATCAGAGGCACCTGCCCTTCCTGAAACAAATCATCCAGCCAACATTTGGTGTTCGCTATCTGCACACCTTCCCCATAGCTCTGATCACCTGAACCAGTGTTTTCTTTATTTGGTGAGTGATCCYTTTTTATTTTCAGATTTATTACTGTGAAGGCCAAGGAGATGTGTGCAGAGCCAGGGAAAGGCTGGGTGGAGAAGATCATGGAGGAACTGAACCAGACAAAGGCCACAATGTCCCCACTGGCACGTGATGCCACCTCACCAGAAGGGCCYGGTAGTGTTGAGAGGCATGTTGGTCTTCCAGATTTGGCTCCCTCTCAAGCCACTGCTCCAACTAGTTTCTTCCATGGGACTGGAACAACAGCTAGGGAGAGAATACATGCTCCTGCTGCTGGGACAGAGGTGTCCAGCAAGTCCCCACTGGGCATGCAGAATCCTACCCAGCTCCCTGCACGATCCACCCCAGTGATACCAGAAGAGGCTGCACACTCTGAGATCACTCCAGAAGCAAAGAGAGAGTCCTTAAATTCTCCTGCATCTTCCACAAATGTTGCAGCTGGCATGGACTCCAGCCAGCCCACCCCAAACCCCACAGCCCCTGTGCATGGCTTTTCCAGCACCCTGGGATCTACAGAGGAAGCTGTAGGACATGCTGCAGATGTTGTGACTGATGTTCAAGGCAAAACTTCTCCTAACTCAAATTCAGATCTGATGGCCACTCCTAAAGGATCAGACCAACCTGTACTTCCTACAGATGGATCCCTGGGCCCTACAAGTGGCAGAGTGAACATACCAGACGCTGCTTCCAGCAGCTCCAGGTCGGATCTTCCCTYCATCCAGGACAGCGTGGAGACCACAACAGTCACAGTGACAGCACCACAGACTACTTCAGTTTCTGCTCTAAGCTCTACCGCTGTCATGGACAAAGCTGCTTCTGCCCATACCGGTCCCTCTGCAGATGTGTTTGGTACTAGAGCAGTTGTCCATTCATCACCTGTGGGAATGCAAGAGCCTTCAGACACCGTGGTTTTTACTCACCAGGCTTTCTCAGGCCAAGCCAGAGTGCACATGATCACAGTCAGGCCAAACAATCGCCCTCTGCCCAGCTTCTTGTCAGGGTCTCAAATGCACTTTATCATCCCCGTTTCTGTGGTGTGTGGGCTGACAGCTGGCAGTGTTGTTCTTGTATGGCTCTATCTAAAATTTGGAGTCAAACCAGAAGAAACRTCAAGAGAAATGGTACAGGGCTTGCTCTACCAGCAGGCAGGACGTCAAGACAATGCCTATCCAATGGAAGTAATCTGAATGCTTCATGGCTTGAGCATTTCTGGCCTCAACCATAATGTGTGTTGCTGCAGAAAAGCTGTTCATACTGAACTGGTGACCAGTAGGAAGCAAGCCTGGGAATAAAAATCACAGAGAAAACTGACTTTTTTGCAGAGGATAATGTCCAACATCTACTTCATCACTGACCAATCACAGTGTTTTGGAAATAAGGCTCTGACACTTCTTTTCCACTGGCGCTGTTTGTACAAAGGCTGTGGCTGTTCTGTTGCTGGCTCTTTGCCAGGTCATGCGGTTTTCCAAGTCACTGTTGGGAATTTTTCTGTGGTTCATTATGGCCCAGCCAAGAAGCCACTCACCCACCCACACTGTTGGGCTTGGGCTCAGCCACCGTGAGCAATCCCAACACCAAACCCACACAATTTGCACTTAAACTTTTTGCTGCTTCTTTCTTTGCACTTCAGGTCTCTGCTCTGTCAGACCAAGACCCAAGCTGGTGGCCAGCTGGGTGCTGGCTCTCCTTGGGCTGGTTGAACTTACTCTCACCATTTTCTCTTGCTGAAGACACAAAGGATAGCCCAGCTTTTCAGAAAGAGGTGACCRACACTACATCTGATTGGGGGACTGAAGGTCAGTGCTACAGATCTYAGTTCAGAGAAGCTGGCATCCCACAGTCTATTGCCTCCTTGAAATCAGGCCCTTCCTTTCAGCAGCTGTGGGCATTTCTTCTTGCAGATGAATTCTGAGAGCTGATTCTTGGCAAAGCAATGCAATAAAACCCTTCTGCCAGCTGATTGCCCTGTGTCCAGCTGCATCCAACACCAGGGCAGGATAATGCTGATGAATCTTCACAAATGGGAGAAAACAAGAAGTCACCCAATAATTTTTCTATTTCTGTGTTATCACTGCAACATTTTTGGCTGTTCTCTGCAAGCACAAAACCCAGGAAATGCTCTTGGAGGAGCTAAATGCAATTCTGGATTTAGTCATACAGGAATTAGTCTACCACAACAGACATTACATCCTTTTGATCCCATTTTCTCTCTAGAAATAAGCACATTTGCTGATCCACAAAAAAGAAAAAAAAAAGCACAAAACGCCTGTTCACAGTCCTACATTTCAGCCACATTTTAATTTTTCCATTTTGGATACCACTGATCACCAGGCTGTGAAACACTGTAACAGAGCCAGGCTTTTTTTACCCCAAATTGATTTTGATTTTTATGCATTCTGACATTGCTGTACATAAGTCTTACGTTTTATCTGTGGTCAGGTCCTGAAAGCCCTTATTAAACTYTGACTCCAGGATGAATTCTGCTGGAGCAGGCAGAGGTCTTCAGAACACTATGTTTTCTAAGTAGATACTTGCMAAGGGTAAGATCCTCCTCTAACCACCCTCAGCGGATCAGATCCCTAAGAATAAATATGCATGCAGAAAATGAAAGGAAAAACATAATAAGCAAGATCATCAGAAAGGATGGGAAGCTGTAAAGCAGAGCTCGAGGAATGTGGCCTGTTAGATCTGTCAGATTGCACCTTGGGGGCATCCATCCGGCCCTGCAGGGGGAGAGGACTGACCACAACCGTGTTTGCTTTCTGCCATCACACATCCCTTAYTTCTGTGTTTTGTTGGCTGGAGAGAGAGGGGAGCCAGGGATTCATCTCGGCTTTTTGCAAGTATGGAATGCAGTCAGATTAATGGCAGTGATGAATTTGGAGTGAAATCCTTCCTTGTGCAGCAGCCCAGCTGTGGAACTCTGGTTGGTGTTGATTTTCCTGGAGGGTAAATCTGGGGCTGTCAGTGCCACCTCCCCATCCACCCCACTTGTGCACAGCTGGAATTCATGAAGCAATGTACTGTGGCATTATTTTTATATGAAACATTAGAAGTGTTATTTTTGTAAAAAGGTTTTTTAGCTTTTTGAATGTATGTAATGTCCTGTCTGAGCTGCTTGGAGTCRATACCTTTTGGGCAACACTGGAAAACACTGTGCCTTGTTTGTTTTGTTGCTGGTCTTAGATGGCTTGTGCATGTTCATGAGAGCTGGATCACTCTCCAGGCCCTTCAGCAAATGGAGTGGACACTTGTGTGGCTGCAGTTGAAGTGCTTGTCTSGGAGCAGTGCTGGGGAGATGGATGTGCACCAGTCAGATCACTTGGAGTCTTTGAAAGGTTCCAGCTCCATCGCCAGCTCTCACCGTCTTCCAGCTGCTGTGATCCCACTGGGACTCATCGGGAGGAGCTGCTTCTCCAGGCTGGCCCTGTCCTTGTGCTCTCCCTGCTCCCCTCTCCTGTCCCTCAGCTGTTTGCAGGCAGGGTGCTGGCACCCTCACAGGGGACAGGTAAACCCAGGACAAGGGGGCACTGCTGTTCCTCTTGCTGCAATGGGCAATCTGGGAGGGAGGATGGAGCCTGTGGGTGAYTGGGAAATTCTCACCCATTTCTGAGGGTTACGATATCACTTGCTGTAGAGCACAGTGACTGTTACAAGCTCTGGTTCATTTGTATATTGAGTGTGTGCATGAGATATAAGCTGTACATTTTTATAGAAGAAATAAAGTCACTATGTTATAAACGTTCATCCTCAGGGGACTGAGCCCTGAGCTGGGTTACCAAGCCTGGTCCCTGCAGAGATGAACACCTGTGCTGAGCACTGTGGAGAGCATCTCAGCAGCACCAAGGGATGGCAAAACCAGCACAGCTGGATGTGGCCAGGCTATTGCTCCAACTCCTTTAAGGGTTTTGGTTTTGCAAATGTTTGCAGGAAATGCCTTTCCTCACAAGGGTTTGTAGTTCCAAACTTACTAAGGCAATAGAAAAAAAACAAACAGCAGGAGTTACAGTTTGTTTAAACAAAGCTGTGGCCAAACAGCAGCCCAGAGACAGCAAATGTTACGCTTCAAGGAGGCAGAGGCCAAGGGCTGGATAGAGCCTCTTCCACCCCAGCCAGGGCTTGGGCTGCCCTTGTGTGCTCCTCTCTGGCGCTGGAGAGGAGAGGTGGGAAAGGCAGTTCAATGAAAGTCAGTTCCCAGGAGTTTGCCTGGAGGGGAGATGGAAAGAGCAAGAGGGTCAGGGATGAGCATCTTCCCTACATTTCAGGAGCTCTCATCCYCACCATCTCTGAGGTCCATCTAGGAAGATGCAGAAGTCAATGAAAGTTTCCTGCAGATGAGTCACCAGGCCAGAAAGGTCATTTGGGGGATAAAAAAAAACTCTAAGGAAACGAAAGCACTTTTTTTTTAAACTTCATTTCTCCTCTCTGTTGTGGAGRGCCAGCGAGGACGAAGCCCGTGCAAACAAGCCAGGCCTTACAGGATGAATCATTTCCGATCATTTCCAACAGGCAGAGCTGGCGCCGGCGGGGCTGTTCAGGGGCTGCTGCTCTGGARTTTTTGGGTGCCCAGTCCCTGTGCTGTGGGTGGCAGCTGTGGGGAAGCATTCCTGGACACAGCTTTCCTGCAGCCTCCGTGTCTCGTGACTCCGGGCAGAGCTTCCCGCTCAGGATGCATCTCAGATCACTGGTTACAATACTTGATGGTCCCCAGTGTCCCTCTGTAGGAAGCAGAATTTGGAAGAGATTCTAATTTTTTCTAATTTTAGAGTGTCTTTCCAGGCTGCAGGRCCTGGCACAGTTGTACCTGGAATAACAGGGACTCCGGGAAGGAAGAAGAGAATTGCCTTTGGTTTGTGATTGTGTCCTGAGTCAATCAGGGCTCTGAGACGGAGCTGTGGAGACCATGGAGTRAGCACCCTAAAGAAATGTGGAGGGGCTTTACACTCACACAGCTGAGGGTTTAATAAAAGTAAAACAAGAACATCTCGTATTTTAAATGGAGAAAACTCAAAGTGACTGAGTAGCACAGAAGAAAACAGGGAAAACTTACTCCAAGCCCTCTCACCTTCTCCTTGGKGACAGGTTCTAGCCACTGGGTGATGGCCAGGTGATGCTCAGCCCCTTTTCTCCTCCTTGGCAGCCCAGCTGCTCTTGCAGTGCCTTCCCAAGTGCAGGATGTCCGTGGCTGTGTTTTCCAGCACAGCTGGGAGTGCTCAGCCATCACCCACTGAGACCCCAAACCCAGCATGAGGCTGTTCTGCCCAGCTCCTTTGTCCCCTCACTGACACCTCTGCTGGCAAAGGCTGCACCTGACGTGTCCCCTCAGCTTCCCTCCTCCTCTTCTTGCAGAATAACAAGGATGCTCTTTATTTTTTTGTGTGAACAAGCAAATTCTTCAGAGTCCATTGAAATTAGAGGGAAACTCGCACCAGCAGTGGGGCTTTCCCGTGCTATCAGTGAATGGCTGCTCATCACCCTTTCCCTTTCCAAAGTGTGACAGAAGAATCGAAAGATCTCCAGGGAGCGGTGAGTCATTCTCAAATCCTGAGAAAGGGGAAGCTGAGCATCCTAGGCCAGACCTTCTGCCAGAAAAGGAAGCAAAGCTCTGCAGAAGCATCTTGAGGTCCTCTCCTTCCACAGCAAAGGATCTTGAGCCTCTGTCAGCAGGAGATGTGTCTGACTGAAGCCGGGCTTGGGGAGAGCTGGGAATTACCAGAGCAATTCTCAGCATTGGGTGGTTTTTCTCCCAAGTTGTTTTAAAAGACACCCAGAGATGACAGTCCCAGGCACACTGTCCTGCACCAGAGAGTGGCTGAGGGGTGAAGAARGGCTTGAGGTGGTCCCTGGGGTAGTTCACAGCGGGCAAGGGGGGACCAAGAATCTGCATGGAACCCCATTGCTCCATGCATCCACTTAGAGCCTGGTTAAAAACAGGGAAAGATGAAAAAGGGTCAGAGCAGGGACTGAGCATGACTGACCAGGACATGCAGAGGGGCTCCTTAGACCTTCAGAAGGTCTGAGGAAGGAGGAGAACTGTCCCCCAGGTTAACACAGAGAGGCTGMCCCTGTTTCAGCAGTCCCTGCAGGACCTGGGGTGCTTCAAGGCTGTGGAGGGAAGAAGATGAAGGAAAGACACCCAAAAACTTTGATCAGCAAAGTTTTCCCGCAATTCCCTTCAGCCTGGTGCAGACTCCTGCTCTGCCCTGTCTGCAAGGAAGGACTCAACTACACCCCCTTCTCTTTTCATCCCACACTGCCCAGCGATAAACAGATTTTTGGTTGAAAACTTGTGTTCCACTCCATAATACCAGCACAGAATGTGATACATCTCATGTGATACAATTCCTACCAGTATTTGCCCATTTGTCMCTTTCCAGCCACAGAGGGCTGGTGGCAGCAGCAGTCACCATGTTTTGGTTAATGCTTTCCAGGAATTCACAAGCCATCCAGCCATCCCCACCACATTTTTRTTGGCTCTGGGGCTGAAAAGTGACCTTGCATGGAACACTGAGTTTGCCTTTCCTATGGTGAATCCCCTCTCTGAAGGCTTGGGAGCTCTTGGGTTTACATCTGTGTGGAGGCGAATTTTACTTCCCTCATGGCTTTTCCTGTSTGGGTGAACACAGAAGCTGATGTAATTTATTTAGGCTTTCCAGGTATTGTCTGTGTGTAACCCCAATGATCCCATGTGATATGGAAATCCCCTTGGGCAAAGAAATGGTCACTTTTCTTTTAATTTCAAAYGCCTTGAAAAAGGGAAAACTGGGGAGGGGTAGAGAGGATAAATTGCAGCACCTCSGTGTCTGAGCACAGAGTTGAGCTCCTCCAAAGAGACAGAGCAGCATCCCGTGAGGAAGAGCCYTCCCAGAGCCACCATGATCAAGGCAAGGACAGTCCTGCTGCTCGTGGTGCTCCTCACTCTCTCCCCACGCTCTGATGCAGGTAAAGAACCTCATGGGCCACTGCTGCTGACTGGGACTCGGGATCAGGGTTGGTCAGGAGAGAAACCCCAATGTGGAGCAGGGCTGGTGCTGCTGGAAGGAGGAACACCCCCTGGCCAGGCAGAGCAGCACATCCTGGGGTGCAGGGAAGGATGGAGGCTGCTCCTGGGGCTGAGGGGCTTTGGCAGAGCTGCTCTGGGCTGGGTGATAACCTGGGGCATCCTTCTACCCCGGGAATRAAGGAGGAGGGCACCTGGGGCTGCTCATGGCAGCATTTGCAGAGCCTGGGGGATGTTGTGTTCATCAGCCTTGGCCTGGGGGWGGTCCTGAAGACAGGCTGCCTCCCAGAGCCAGCCCTCACCATCTCCTTTGTCTCCTTTGTCTCCTGCAGCCCCTTACGCTCCGTCCGAGTGCTGCTTCCGCTACGTGAAGGGTGTTCTCCGGCTGGCCAACCTCCGGGGTTTCTACMCAACTTCCAGGGAATGTTATCTCCCAGCAATTGTGTAAGTCCTGCTAATGTCCCCACTGCTGTGCTGTCTTCTGGGCCACCACAGGTTCAGTTCATCTGTTCCATCTGGGGACAGGACAGGGACAGGTCTGTGTAACCTGCGTGATCCTCTAGCRTGAAGAGAGGAGGATGTGATGGTCTGGGAACTTTTACAAATCCATCACAGCTCCTGAAGGCTCTGCACGGGCTCTGGAGGTGCTGCAGGATGAGCTGCTGTAGGACACCAAGCACCTGGGGCAGCACACAGGGACAAAGGGAAAGGAGAAAGTGCAGGGGAGGGAGGATGGTGTGGCTGCAAGTGGAATCACAGCTATCATTCCTCACAAAGCTTCACCTTTAACTCTGGCAGGTTTGACACCAAGAATGGAGACAAAGTCTGTGCAAACCCAGAGGAGAAGTGGGTGAAGAGAGCAGTTGGGAAGCTTCAAAGGAAAAGACTTCATGTCCCATGATGTAGAGTGGGTGCCCTGGTTCAGGCCCCCCGATATCCTGGTGGAAGGAAGGTTACAGCCACCCACAGAAGGGATTAYGGCTGTTCCAGCTTCTGGGAGAGGGCACTGACTCCCCAGAGCCCTGTGCCACCTTCACAGCTGGGCACCAGCTCCTGGAACGCTGCTGGCCCTGCCAGCACCCACCTGCTGATCACAGCACAAAATAAAGTTTTTCATGTGGTATTGGAGAGTGGTGTCCTTAATTCTCCCCACCCCACATCCATGCTGCTGGGGCTGGGGTGGGATGGGGGCTCTTCCCACTGGGTCTCACTGGGGCAGGCAGGGATGGGGATGGATGGAACTTCAAGGGGACCTAAAAGGGGCTGAAGACTCTTCTGAGGGTTTTTAGGTGCAGAACTGCCATCAGTTCTGGGTGTAGAGGTCTCAGCCTGTCCCTGTGCAGAACAGCCTGTCTCCACCAGTGCCCAGGCCCGTGGTGTCTCTGGGCTGGGCTGTAGGGGAAGGGTTTCTCTGCAGAGCTCCCCGGGCAGGTAGGACAGACAGGGATTCTGAATCAGCCAAGGGATTCCTGCACACAGAGCCCTGGAAATGCCCCCCCTGCCAAGGGGAGCTGAGCAGTGAGCCCTGACAGGACTTTGTGATGGGGAGGAGAAATGGAAASGTAAGAGTGGGAAAGGYTGTGGRTTGAGGTAAAGACAGTTAAATAAATAAAGCAAAAGCTGGCACCCACGCAAAGCAAAATCAGGAATTTATTCACTCCTTCCCAYCGGTGGGCAGTGCTCAGCCATGGGGAGCAGGGCAGGGCTCCCTCACGTGTAACAGTGACCTTAGAAGAAGACAAATGCTGCAACTCGGAATGCTCTCCCACTTCCTCCTTCTTTCCCTGTGACGGTTCAATAAGGAAAGAGAAAGGAGAAGTAACTGAAAAATGAAACCCACCAAAAAACTCCACGAAGTAATTAAAAAAAGTTCACTTGCCATCAGCCAGATGATGCTCAGCCAGTCCCTGAGAGCCCTAKGCCAGCACTCCCAGCTCCTGGGGAAGGGGATTTTGGCTGCAGCAGCTCCAAGAATGCTTGCACAGCAGAGGCAAAACCCACCCAGAGTGAGGGATGAGCCTGACACACTGCAGGTCTGCAACCTGAGGTCTCACAGGCACCAAGATGAAGGATTCTGGACCAGGAGATGCTTCAGCCTGAAGAAGCCTCTCAAACTGCTGCCTTTCTGCGTCAGGAGTCCTCTGACCATGGAGCCACCCTGTTTGCTGGCACTTGGTGCCCTCTCCTGACAGCTTTGGCTCGGATGCAGCACAGACCTCAGGTCTATGGCCAGGACGGGCAGTTCCAGCCCGACACCAACATTTATCCTGTGCAGACAGTTCATGTTCTCTGTTACAGTGTTAGCTTTTGTGATTACTCACTGAAACCCCAAAGCATTCTATGAGTGAGAGAGTTTTTCCCATCTCTACATTGCTATTTTTTATCCATGTTTATCCATTTTAATTTCTAAAGTAGGGTTTTTCCTCARTCAAAAAATTTGTATTCAGTTATGAATTACACTGAGGTTGAGGGTGGTTTGGACACCCATAAAATCCTGTGTAGAGTCTGTACCCGCTCTTGTCTCCACTTTTCTCTACATTTGCCAAACCAGGAGCTCCAGACCTGGAGAAGAGGCTGTGCCACTGCTGGGATGGCATGGGAGGCTGCTGGGAGCTCCCCAGGCACTGCAGTTTGGAAGAGGCTGGAGAAGGCTAAACCCAAACCCGGACACAGAGGGAAGCCCAGTCCCCCAGAGCCTTCTGGAGCCTTTTTTGTCCTTCAAACACCCAACATGCACTGATCTGCTTTATGAAGAGCAGATAGTAGAGGCATGTACTAATGCTTGTGGGGTTGGGAATAAGCAGCTAAAGGAAAGGGGGAGCAGCCATGTGCCTCAGACAGGCCTGGAAAGGGAGCTCAGAGCTGGCACATAAGGTTTTCTGTGTCAGAAGATGATGGTTGGAAAAAGCCCTTAGCTCAGTTGTCCCTTCTTTAGAGCCCTGTGCCTTCACCCAAGCCTAGGAGCTGGTGTGTGACCCTCGTGGTTGCTGGGCCCAAGGGTCTGTGCATCAGGGATGTGCTGGGAGCTGTGAGGGGAGAGCAGGGGAACCTGGAGGGGGTGCAGAGTCTGCAGGGCTCAGGGGCTGCTGGGTGCCAGGCATTTTCTCCCTGCAGAGCCCTTGCCTGGGGATAGTGGCATCAGAACCCAGTGGGGCTGTGCCCAGCTCCCTGCATGGCCACCCTGCCCSCTGCAAGACCAGACCCCATATGCTGCAGACCATTTCTTGTAAACCAGCGTTTTCAGTGCATTTCATCTGTTTCCTTCTCCCTTCTCCTTTCAGAGAAGTCCTGCAGACATGAGGTCATCTTCAAAGGAGTCCATTTCCACCTTTCTGCCCCGCTGAGAAGCCTTGGATTGCCTCAATCCGCAAGCCACAGCCAGATCCCCTCCTGTGCTCCCAGTCAGCATCATCCTGTGTGGGTTCCCTCAGGATCTTATCCCTCCTCACACACAGCGGCACCGACCTTCCCAGGGAGCAGATCCCTGCATGGAAGCTGGGCTGATGTCCACCAGAGCTCCGTGGTGCTGCCATCGGGATCTGTGCCACCTGCTCCTCCTCTCTGGTGTTCTGGGGTGATTCTTTGGGGTTGTGGTAGGATCTGTCCCATTTCCCTGYAGGAATGCCCTGTCTGTGCACTGATGGCCACACGCCTCCATCCCCAACTCTCTTGTTTCAATCCCAGTGCTGGTGTGGGAGGCAGRGGCAACACTTGGGCTCAGACTTGTGCTCAGACTCAGACTCTCCTCAGACACCCCACTGCCACTGAGCCCCCTTTCTTCCTCTTCTATAAAGTCCACTGAACCCACCAAATTAATCTCTGGCACCCCCTGCTCTGGGGTCTCTCCTGAATCAGTCCAGCATGGCTTTTTCTGCCTGACATCCCATTCATCCCATCCCATCCCATCCCATCCCATCCCATCCCATCCCATCCCATCCCATCCCATCCCATCCCATCCCATCCCATCCCATCCC